AAAGGTACGTTCACCGATTACGCCGAGGTGGTTTGAGCAATCGGAATGAAACCTGTTGCATCTTGTAAAGCATGTCATCCCGGCGGTCCCGCTATTAAGACTTTTTGCAATTTGTTATTTTTTACCCATTTTTTCTTTTTAACAAAAAACCGTAATTTTTAGGTATCTTTGACGATTACGTCGAGATGACTTGATAAATCGGAGTGAAACCTCTTGCATCTTGTAGAATACTTCTTCCAGTAGGTCCCGTAAACAAAACATTTTGTGATTTGTCATTTTTTACCTGTTTTTTTTGAAAAAAAAAAAAAAAACAGAAAAATTTTGTCTTGTTTCTTATTCCAACAATCTCATAATTCTAACCTTAACCCGCAGTTACCGTTTACTGGGAGTTATTGATCCTGCTAGTTTCTGACTATTCGCCAGAGTCGTTGCACTTGACTCCAATAACCAAACAATCAAAATACCCGAACCTGCGGTTACCCTTTACTGAGATATACTGTTCTTGTAAACTATCCGATTATCGCATCGGAGTCGCTACATTTCTATTCCATCTGCAGTTGTCGGATTCATTGACGCACAATAACTAATCGTACCGCTTCTTTTCTCAAATCTACCCCACTCGTTGCGCTCACCCGCGTCGATATCGCCCTGGCTCGTAACGTAAAAATGCAACCCATTTTAGGTCAATAATAAATTCCAACCGTACTATTTTGAGAAATTTTGTGATTATGTAATATTATTTGTACTTTTCTATTGAATGATTTTTTTAAAAAAAGAAATAGTTATTCCAAGAATGTAACATACGTTTTTCATTAATATCGACTTTGTAATATAATAATAGTATAAATCTTTATCATTTTACTATCATTAAATTACTTTTATATTTATATATAAATACTTTTGTATTTCTATTGTTGTAATACCATCTTTAAAAGAAATTGCATTAGTGAAATTTTAAAAATTTATCAAAGTACATCAGGAAAGAATACAAATTCAAATTTAGCAATCAGAATGTTTGAGCGTTATTTGAATAATGAATACTATTGAATATCATTTCTACCATAAAAACGTATTTTAACCTCTTGAGGGATATTGACATATAATTGTACGTTTACGTTTATATAAAAATTGTTGTTATTTACCGTTATTCGCAATACTTGTTTTGAACTATACATATACATTTTTTCTTGCAAGTAATCAAAAATTTTTATAATTCATCGCTATAGAGGTTAAGGATGAATTTTAAAGTAAAATATTACACTTACATAAAATTTCTCAAATAAATATATCCATTTAGTATAATCTTTGAACCATTTACAGCGGGTGTAGAAAGTATTCGTACATCGATCAATTTCCAAATAAACTATGTGAATTGTAATTTATTAACTTTTTTTTTATAAACAATGATATTCTATAAACAATGATATTCTTGGAAATGTCTAGAATAGATACAGTACGAAAAGATTAGGTATTTTGTATAAGTGAGAAATCAACAAGAAAAAACAATAAATCGATAGAAATACAGAAGCAATAAGTATTCGTACAAGTGTTAAATATTTAAAACTTTGTTTAAAAAAAAAACGAAATTTACATTAATTTATAAATAATTAATACTTCGTGGGATTTCCTTTTGATTTTATAATTACTGCAACTCTTCTAAGCATTAAATTAACTATCATAAATGTGGATGTTATTCGGGATGAGATCTTCTTTCATTCCTTTATTAGAGCATTTTTTAAGTCTTTTTTACTGGAAATTTAATGTTTTCTATTTACCACGAAGCAATAAACTGATGTGTTTATGTTACAAATTCTACTGTAAATTGTTCGTCATAAGAACCGTGCGAATACTTATTGCTTCTATATTTCTACCAATTTTTCGTATTTTCTTGTTAATTTCGTAAATTATATAAACTAGTAATTGTTGTTTGAACTACATATATTCTAGAGATTTCCGAGAATATGTAGGATAGCGTTGATTATAAAAAAAGCAGTTAACAAACTGCAATTTCACGCAAAAGTTTTTTGGGAAATTGATGGATGTACGAATACATTCTACTGTATCAATGATAAATGTATATAAGACTGAAATGCAAATTAGAAATCGATGAAAACTCACGTGCAATTTCTGCAAAACGCACGTGACCGCGACTCCAAAGGTCGATAGCAATTTTCGCAAAGCCAATCCTTGCTGCCAACGTAAATGCTGTTGCTGGTGAGAAAAGTGATCCAATTGCACCCTTTGAGCCTAATTTCGTTTAAAACGGACGTGCTCACTTCCCTCGCGTTCATTCTCGCGCATTATCGTCTCTTTGATACACCCTTTCACTTCACACGTGACCGTCCCATTACTTGAAATTCTTCAGCCCAGACCTCGGGGCAAATTTTCAACATTTCATTTCACGTCGTCCGCCAATGTTCGTCAGCATTGATGACACTGCATTCCAGCAATTTAAATATTTTTACTTCCACTGGGCTCGTCTTAATGAATTCCGTGCGCACCTTTTCACTTTTTCACAATACACGCGTAAACGATAGTGTTCTCCAACAAATTTGCTATTCTTAGCAAAATTGAAAATTGTTTGATTTTTCGAACGATTCTATGGAAAATTAAATATTCACTTGCTCTTTTTTTATCTACTTTTATTACGTCCTTGTATAGAATGTTTAGAATAGTTGAAGAGTCTATTCACTATTCTCACCGATTGTGATGTACTTTCATTATTTTCTTCACTATATTTTATATTACATATTTGGTATATTTTGTTAAAAAACCTTGGAATTTTTATGATGATTAAGAGATTTATTATTTTTACAAAAATCGACGTTCTACTTTCATTTGGTTTTATATCATATTTTTTTAATACTCCGGAATAGTTAAATAATCTTATAATTATTATTGCAATTAAGATATCTGTTATCTACATATTATGATGATTCAGTTTCGTTATGTCTATCAGTAATGGTTCATATAAATGCTCTAGGACATGTTTTTAAAGCACTTTTTAAATTTGTAACTATTACAACGTTTAAGATTTTTTTTTATATATTTTATAATTACAATTATAATTATATTATAATGGTATTGTAACGACAATATAACTTCATTATAACTACCGCTAATGTTGTGCATACAGTTCTTGGAATATATTGCAAACGAATTTTTTTATTTCTGTATTATAGTGACGATTAAGATAATAAATATCTACATAATTTGGAATTCCACTTTCATTAATGTTTTATGTTAACTTCTAATTTCATAACTTCGATGTCTATTATTTATAAATTACGATGTTGCATTTTCATTAACGTTTATATTAATTTTGTGAAATATACCTATTAAAAAATATCTATTATATTCATATATCTCGATGTTCAATTAATTTTCGCAATTGTACGTCCCACTAATAAATCACTTTCTTTTCCACGATCTTTCGATTCATTATTGCTTTCCAATTGGGATTTCCCTCGTCGCCGATCGAGCCTTCGAACGATCTACTTTATTTTGCCACACTCGATAAATCTCGAAACCTCACCAGACACTTTTACGAGTTCTACTTATCAAATAAATCAATCTTTACACGCCTTGCGCTCCATCCATTCGAAGCCTCGAAGCCTCGAAGCCTCGCACCTCACTGTTTTGATTTCGCTGCAACGGAGCACCGACGTTCAACGAACGCTGTTCAAATTACACTAACGGTTTCCACTCGTTTCACAAGTAATGAAATCTCATTCCCCTACCTCCGTCGCTTTATTCGCCGTTAACGAGTCGGAAAATATTTTGACCGCGAAACCACTCGAGTCCCTTCCTCGACGAGCGTACTTTTCCTCTAATATCTACAACACTATCTACACAGTATCTATAACATTCGTCGATAAAAACTCGTATCGTGAAATATTCATTTTTCTTTCAGCCGTGGCGATTACGATTACTTCTACCATGATTATTCCAATAATTCAACGCGGTTGCTTGGTTTTATTTTTCTATATGTCAAATCCAAGATCCAGGATCAGTTGACTATTTCGACCTAGGGGGCTTGATTGTTCGAAGAAGATCGTGGGTTAGGCCTAGGTTAGATTTATCTATATTATTGGTCCTATCATTTTATCCTGAAATTGTTCAATTTTCTTTCACAGGTGACTATTACGATTACTTCTACCACGACTATCCCAGTAATTCAACTAAAGTCACCTGAATCCAGGATCCAGAGTCAGCGTTCTGTTCGATCTAACGTTTGTGTCTTCTAATAAGTCAATGGGTTAGATTTAATTTAGGTTTGACGAACAAGAATCCTTTGCAACTAAAACTTCTAACTTTTTTTTCTACAGTGACATCACGATTACTCTTGCCACGGCTATCCCAGGAATCACAGGCAATGGTTCAGCTTATTTATTTTTTCGTTAGATACAAAATTCAGTGCGGTTCTTGATTTGGTGCTTCATCGTTCGAAGAAGACTCTTCCTCAGCTTTCACTAAATTGTTCAGAGTCTTTCAAAGACCAGCTCAGGACCAAATCCTTCGTTACTTTGTACACGTTTCTTTTCAAATATTAAGAATATATTCACATCATATCTTAGTTTCTTTTAATATGAACTCATGCATACACTTTGTATTTCGTGTCACGTTGCTAATTGATGACTAGACGTGATAGTTTTATGCATTACTGTTTGGTTATTTCTTCGATACACACTGGAACGTAATTCTGTGCTGTATTTTTACCACTGTAAAACTTCACTGCTCAAAAAATGTATGTTTAACCTTGGTTTATACACAAGGCTCAGTTTCATACACAATCACTCCATCAGTATTTTCCTATACATTGGAATGCAGTTCTGTGCTGTTTTTCTAGCACTGGAAACCTCACTGCTCAAAGGATCGCTCGCTATGTGTTCGTTACATACATTTATATCTGGCTTTCATAACTTATATACAACTATTCGTTCGTTTCTTCAGCATAGATACAACCATCGTTTTCAGTTCAATGACGATTTCCCATCACCATAAAAACACACCACTCAAAGAAGTGATACTCAGTGTTTGCTTAGGTAGCACTTCCAAGTTGGGTTGTTTCATCGACAACGGACACGTTCGACGATATCCCTCACACACTGTGCATTTACGAGCTGGATGTTTATCTTATCGGGTGTATCGCGTGTTTGGTTCCTCGTCAGCTTTTCCCGACACCCAGCGAACCGTTTGATCGGCGACGAAACGACGTATCAACGACGTTGGCTAGGCGTCGGGTCGCGGAAAGGCGGGCATGCTGCAACAGATATCGTATCGCTTGATAACAGCCCCCCCCCCCCCCCCCCCCCCCCCCACCACCACTTCCAACCCTGCTACTCCCACCCAGGCAACAGAACAGTAAAGTAACGCTGGGACAACGAAGAGGGACCGATAAAAGCGTTTTATTGCCGTCCCGGCGCAATCAGCCCTGCCAATCTGCGATCGTCGACGCTGATTCCTGGACGCTTCCTTCGACGCCCTTGCGCGCGATCAACACTTTCTCGCTTCTGCCAAGGCTGCCGACACCTTTTACTCTCGGCGGATTCCAGTTTCGCGAAACTGACCGATAAAATGTGACGCGTCTACGCAACACGCGCGACGTGCCAATGACGAGTCTCTCTTCTAGGAGGTTGCACAAGCCGTTCCATTAAATGGTGAGGAACTCGCCACGTTCGGCGACGACAAGCTCCAACGGAGGTCTATTAACCCTTTTACGCGCAGTATATATTTACGTTAACGGCGCTGAAGGTAACGCATTAGTTGAGGTATATCTTAGAAATGTCAATTCTAACTTGGATGTTCTACAGTGACTCACGAAAGTATTTGAACACTTAGTACGAAATACTTTATTAATTATAATAGGTATATTATATAACATTTACTGAAATATTATTAACACTGTAAGGAGGTACGACTCTGCAGATCATATAGGTAAAGTTTCAAACAAATCAAAATATGTAAACAATAAATTTGAATTATTGGAAGGAAAGACGTGTGATGAAATAAGTAAATTATTAAATATAAATAGATCTACGACAAATGATATTATTAAACAATGGAAATCTGAAGGAACTTTAAAAAATAAATACCGTTCAGGTCGACCAAAGAAATTAACCGATAGGAAAGAAAGAGCGTTGCTCCGCGAAATTAAGAGAAAAAATCCAAAGCTTTCTGCTACAAAACTTGCAACAATAGTTAAACAGAATTTTAATAAAGATGTGCATCCAGAATTATGCAGAAGAGTGTTACGTGAAAATGATTATCATGCCAGAGTTCCCAGAAAGAAGCCATATATTAGTGATATTAATAAGAAGAAAAGATTGAATTTTGCAAAAGAATTTATTAGTAAAGATAATGTATTCTGGAATAAAGTGATATTTCCAGATGAATCAAAATTTAACGTCTTTGGGTCAGACGGACGCAATTTTGTTTAGAGACAAGCAAATACCAATGAGATGGAACCAAAGAATTTATGTGCTACGGTGATGCATGGGGAGGCTCAGTTATGATCTGGGGGTGTATGGCGGCAAACGGGACCGAGAATTTGATCTTCATAGAAGGAACAATGGATAAATACAAATATTTGAACATTTTACAAGAAAATTTAAAGGAAAGTGCAAGAAAATTGAGTATATACGAAGACTTTTACTTTCAGCAGGATAATGATCCTAAGCACACTGCAAAAATTGGTAAGGAATGGATTATATATGTATAATACCCCCCACATGTTAGTTACACCACCACAAAGCCCTGATATTAACCCGATTGAATATCTATGGGCAATAATGGCGAAAGAATTACAAAAATTTAATATAACATTCACGGCAAGTTTAAAGGAAAAAATACTCCAAGTTTGGAATTTTATTTCGCCAAGTATTACAGAAAGGTTAGTAAACAGTATGCATACTCGCTTACAGGATGTTATTCGTGCCAAAGGCCGACCTACTAAATATTAAAGATTTAAAAATTACTTGTTCAAATACTTTTGTGGCTTCAACAATCTCTATCTTAACAAGAAATAATTCAAATCTATTGTTTACATATTTCGATTTGTTTGAAACTTTACCTATATAATCTGTAGAGTCGTATCTCCTTACAGTGTTAATAATATTGCAGTAAATGTTATATAATATACTTATTATAATTAATAAAGTACTTCGTACTAAGTGTTCAAATACTTTCGTGAGTCACTGTAAATGAAATTCATCTGCGTTGAAAGAGTCGAAGACGGTCGATTTTGAAATAGGTGGATCTGTTACTAATAACTAATAACTGTGTCATTAAAGAGACTATTTTCTGACGTTCACTGTCATTTATTTTCTCACAAATCCTCTTAAAAAAAAAGAAGAAAAAAAAAACACTTATAGTTATATACTCTATAACTGATAGTTTGAGTCAATTATGTAGATGTAAGGGAATGCTCGATTTTTATTATAATGTTATAGGCATTTTGGGGAGAAACTAATTCTGACAAATTGACTTTAGAGGAAATGTGTTTTCTCTTTTCTCAGATAGGAAACTATTGCGAGATGTTATATTTATTAAGGGGATCAAAGGGTATGTTGTTTCTTTTACATTATATTCAAAAAAGTAACTTTATAACAAGATTTTATTTTGAATCAATTATGTAATTGCCCTCGTTATCAACAACCTTTTGTTATCTAGTGTGCAAGTTTGTAATACCCGATCGATAAAAATCAATTGATTCACAATGAGCTGATAAATGATAAACAAGTATTGATACTCGCAGAAACAGAGGCGGGTAATATTTTGTAGAGAAATATTTTAAATACTATTTTAAATAATAGATTCTTCAGAATTCAAATAAAATAGTATTTCAAATGGGATATAAAATTTCAGCAAATAAAATATTTTATTTTGTGTTAGGTAGTGTTCGGGACTCGACCAACGGTCTTGTGGTTAGGGAGTTTCTCCCTCTCCTCGAAACAAGCAGGAAAATCGGTGAGAGATTGGTCGGGAGAGAGTGGTTGAGAGAAATGTAGCGAAGAAGTAAGTTTGCAGAAGATAGATTGTAATCGAAAAGAATTGACGAAATAAAGAGGCATCGAGGAGTGTTAAACAGTTTAAGGGTGACTTCTTTTTCTTCCCCTGAGCTCGGACATAACATTTTGATAATGTAAAACGTAAAATAAAATAACTTATTTTGGTAATCTATAGTTAAAGCATGAAAATAAATATTTTATTTTGATAATCTAACACATCAAATAAAATATGTTACGTTTTAATAACATAAAGCATAAAATTGAATACTTTCCATAGCTCTTAACCTTAAATTTAACCTGAAAATAATTTTAACTTACTTTAACCATTATTTTAGCCTGAAAATAAACTGTGTATATATGATACACAGATGGAAAAACTATTTCTTGCGATTGAAGAATATCTCTTTCCATCACTCATTTTATGAAGATTCTTATTGAAGATTCTTAATAGAAGTATTCATTGAAGAACTACATTGAATGTATGTTTATAATGCAGAGGAAAAGTACTTCGTTCGTTTCAGATTACTAAAATAAATATATTTTTTATCCAACTTCGAAAAAGGAGGAGTTACTCAATTCGATATACATATATATATTTTTTACACTATAATTTAGTAAAATAAAAATATTTTATTTGCTGATAATAAATTAAAGAAATAAAATATTCCGAACTATGGCACAAATATTTTCAGTCTTTTTCAAATAAAATATTAGTTGAAATATTATCTTAAACATTTTTTTATAACAAATAAAATATTTTATTTTTAAAAATACTTACATGATCCGAAATAAAATATATTATTTTTAAAAATACATGCATGATCCGAAATAAAATATTTATTTACTGTTTATTATTTAAAATACGTATTTTACCCAGCTCTGCACAGAAACGACATTATTTTCTGGTCCCCTTAATATAATATTACCGACGTAGAACAGTCATGAATTTTGATTTATATACTGAAGATACTATAGAATACATTACATACCTTCAGAAATTGAATTTAAAATGAAAAACTAGTTCTCTCTGAAGGTAAACTGTTCTAAAATTTTATATTTACATTAATAGCGTGAAATTGTCAGACTAAAGGCAATGGCCTGGCAGGTTGAAGTTTATGCTTGAAATATAAATTTTAACTTGAGTATTTTGAATGAAATTCGTTCGTTTCGAGAGAGTTGAGGATTGTTGATTTTGAAATACATCGAACTGTTACCATGTAATTAATAATTGTGTACATTTAACTTGTGTCATTAAAAACTTCGTAAAAATTTAGTATTTAGGAACATATATTAGAAAAGTGTAGTACTTTCTTGAGTACACTGGCATTCATTTTCTCATAATTTCCGTTTAAAAAACCACAGTATAGACATTCGTTAATGAAATGCGCGCTATAACTTATCCATCATTAAACACACAGATAAGACTAAAATGTTACAATGAGTCTATAAATAGTACGTAATATTTACGAAATACTTGCCACATGAAATTCTAAAATATCTTAACATTTGTATTTTTCTTTAATCACTGTAAAATCAAACCGCTGCGCTATAGAAGCTTTTTAATGAAATTATCATTATATCAAACGATGGTCATCTATGGATCCTAAATTGCACAAATATTGACTTATTGACTTACATTTTTCCATTCAAATTTTAGTTTAAGTGCCATTTAGGAAGTATAAAAATGTTTGAAAACGTGCAATAATTTTTGCGCAATTTTCTTTTATATATTTTTGGAAAAAATAATCGCTACTGATTTTTCAAATCGTAATATTTTTAAATCTCATATTTTTATAGAAAACTTTGCTTGTAAAGCAACAAATAAGAATCTAGTTTTCATCGGATTTCATTGGATTTAAAAAAAGGTATTAATAAAACATGCGACTCACCTTTCGGTTGGTCCCGTCGAATAACTGGAAGATTCTTCGCCCGATTCAACGCTATTGAATGAAGTGCAGTTCATCTTCCTTTCTTCCCATTGTGACCGAACCTCGTCTTGGACTCTCCGTTTCAGTTCCTCGACTCTTCGTCTTTCTTCCGATATTACTTGACTACCTGTAACAGTAACGACCAATAAATCAAACTGATACTAATATTTTCAATTTAAAGATAAGAAAGATAAGATAGTATGTAGTATAGTATTTAAGTAGTTAGTTACTGACACAGGTTAGTTGGGAAGTAACTTGATGTAATATAATCTAAAGCGATCTTTTGCAGATCACGAGATGTAAATGGTAATTGGTGTTATAGGTCTGATAGGTCTTACGCCGTTGTATTTTCTTAAATAAACTTAAACTTGAAAAGTTCTCATTGAAGTTGGAAATATGGTTCCCAGTTGAAGAAAATTCACTTTAAACAATTCATATTCTTTATCCATCTTTTAGCATAAAATTCAACGTGATGAAAAGCTACGAAACTATTGAAAAATTGAGAAAGTGTATTGGATTTATTAATGAGGTAATTTTTCGGTAGAAAGAGTAACAAAACTATTTTTTGAAAATTTAGATCTATGTTGTTGGTCTTCCTCAGAATAAAGAACACGAAATTAGAATGTTCTAATAATTTTTATAAAAGAAGCATAAAATATTCATGTGTTTGGTCTGTTAGATGTGATAAGGTGTTTTTTCAGCGTCATTCTATTAGACTTTCTAGAGGGTATATTACAAAATTTTTATATCTTTAATGTTCTGAATTAACCAAACGAGAAATAAATCATGTTCTTTATAAAGTGTTAAAAATCAAAGAAGAGAAACAAATATTAGTCGTATTTTAAACTACTATTTTTTCTCTATACTTCTTGATCTAAGAGGAGAAGAATTTCAATTATACTTCAGTTAGAATAGATTGGAGCGACAAGACGAGTATTTTCACCAATTTATTTTTCATATATTGAACGGCACATAGGAACCGCTATCTAAAATTTTGTATGGCCATATGGTCGCTAGCACGTTGATTAATTTAATCTCTTGTGTAGACTAGACAACCTATGCGAGCTTTTTAAAATGTCTCCTCAAAGATTACGATAAATAATATCAAATATTACTGATATTATTTATAAGTTGACGAATACTATACAGTGGGTGTACAATGTATTTGTACACCAATCAATTTCCCAAAAAACTTTTGTGTGAAATTGTAGTTTCTTAACTTCTTTTTTTCTAATCAATGATATTTTACATATTCTCGGAAGTCTCTAAGATGGATATAGTCCAAACAACATTTACTAGTTAATATAATTTGTGAAATTAACAAAAAGATGCGAAAAGTGGGTGAAAGTATAGAAGCAATAAGTATTTGTACGATTCTTATGACGAACCATTTACAGCAGAGTTTGTAACGTAAACACATTAGTTTATTGCTCCGTGCGAATTAGAAAACATCAAATTTCCAGTAAAGGACTTTTAAACAGTTGTCCGAATACTTATTGGTTCAACATTTCTATCGATTAATTGTTTTTTTTCTTATTAATTTCGCAACTTACATAAATAGTTATTTTTTTTGTAATCTATCTATTTTAGACATTTCCGAGAATATGTAGAATGTCATTGTTTATAAAAATAGAAATTAATATACTACAATTTCATAAAAGTTTTTTAGGAAATTGATCGGCGTACGAATACTTTCTACACCCACTGTATCTTTGTCAACGCACTATGTTACTAAACATACAAATTTGTACGAAGTCGTACCTTGTTTCGCTAAATGAAGCTGTCGATTTCTCTCAATTTCCTTGAGGGACTCGATAGTCTTTCTTCCCAAGCTGCCTTGATTGTTTACAATTGGGGCGTCCGTGGTGACCCTCGAGATTCTGTCAAAGTCTTCCCTGCTAGGAGACCGTTTCTCTTCAGTGTTCTCCCGAGAATTTTGTGCCAATTTCGTCAGTTCGTCGTTTATCGCTCTTACTCGGTTTCGACCCTGCGTGCAAGTTCATAGATGATATGAATTACAAAATATAATTTCTTGTATCGTAATGTAATACACAGGATGGATAATATACAACAGATCACCTGAATAACTAGATTATTCTCAACAATAGAAAATAATGTACGAGGTAGAAGATCATTAAATCATTTTAGACCATCCGTTGCTGTTCATGGTCGCCACTTGAATCATTCATACTAGAACTTGTAATGTAGAAATGCAAATTTATCAACTGTTATAACTGTCTGTTGAAAGAAAATATTTTTCTTCGAAAATGAACTTTAATGAGCTTGTATGACCTTGTATGACCTTGAACATTAGATCGTTAGATTTATCTTATAACCATCTACTCTAATATCTTCTATCTATAAAGTTCTTGACTCTTTATTGTATTCGAATTTTTAATGACGAATAAAATCAATATATAACAATTTATTTCCAACGTTTATTCAATCGAACAGTGACACTTCTATTTATTCATTGTGAAATATTTTTGTTTCATACAAATTATAATTTTTATCCAACGAGTGGTATGTAGAATATTGTTTGCCTTTCATTCGTTATTCAAAATTATTGTATATGTAAGAATTTTGGCCATCTTTGCTTAGAATAAAGGAAACATCGTCACAGTCTGTCGTCACGAAATCAAACAACTTCTAACTTATTCTTTAAAAATTAATCTGATGTAAAATGTAATCTTCTACGTTTGAAAATTAACAAATTATCCAGGTGATCTGATTTAAATATCTCAACCTGTATACTTTGAACGTAGTATTCACAAGTTTACTAACTTCTTCCAACCGTTTCAAATGTGCCAGTTTCTGTCTTTCGAGACTTCGTGCATCCTTAGTCGCTGTGCACTTTGCTTCAGATCTTTGCGATTCCAAATGATTCAATCGAGCTTTCCTGGTCTCTATCTTAGTCGTTAGCTCGCTCAAGTATCTGGAAATGATATTTCGCACACGTTAGACGTGGATTCAAATACTAAAAATTCTTTGTGCTCTTTATACGTCTATTCTTTATCTTCGTTAATCCTCTTTGCTTGCGAATTAATATAAAAGGTACTTTTATTTAAAGACATCATACGATTACTATTGCTTATTAATGTAAAATACAATTTTGAAAAAGAAAAATGTATTTAGGATTACAATGGCGTCAATTGTCATACGCTAGGGTACTCTACAGTAAGGATTTTCTTATTTTCTTATTGTATAATAGATATATTTAAAGTTTATATCTATACGAGAAAATAATTTACATTAATCCTCGATTAACTTGAACATAGTCATAGTTGAAAAATTGCTTATTCTTCTACATGAACACGTTAAAGTGTCAAATCCTGTAGCCTATAATTTAGGAAGAAAAACTTGCCACCATTTCAAGCTAAGTCTTCATGCTTCAATTGCATCAAATTTAAAGATAACGCTACGTATAGTGTTGAGTCTGTTGGACTGCACATCCTCCTAGTGTCGTTAATCCAGAATAAAAACAACTGTAGTTTTTAAAAATATTTTATTGCTTTAGACAAGTTTCCTTATAACGTAACGGTATGTACAGTAGGTAACATATAATAACTGGTGGGAATGTTTAGTTACGAAGAATGTTGAGCAGACTGAGAAATGGAATGGAAATTTAATTCCAGAGGGTCGTGGGTGTCGGTAGAATGAAGGGAAGAATGAAAAGAGATAGGAGTGGTTCGGGTAGAACTCGTGCCAGTCCCATAAGCGAATTGTTCCACAATCTCCTGCACGCGGCTGCGAAAAGACAATTTCCGCGATTCGGGTATCTTTTTCACATGCGAGAGTAAGCTTTTGAAGAATAAAATATCTTCGTCGTCGTCCAGATCACGGTTTCGCGACGGTTTCAGATGTAGATCCTCGAGTTTTCGCCTTTCCAACCCTCGTTTCCTTTTTAATCCTCGAACTGCTGAGGAAGACGCGCACGATGATCCTGTAGAAGTATATGGTTAGTACCAACCATGCAAAATCAGTTCGTAAAAGTCTCAAATATATTAGACGAAGTTGGTCCAATCAGTTTCACTATTCTTGAATTCGATTCCCTATGCGAGGTGCATCTTTATAAGGCCATTAAGGGGGGAAATAGATTCAGGCTCAAAGAGTCCGAAAAGAAGAGTTACAAGCTCAAAACGAAGGATACGAAGAAAGAAAAAAAGGACTGCCATATGGTAATCGTATATGTTAATCGTTGATTAATCAGTAAGCCCGATCGCACACAGCGCAACCGATTTGAAATTAGTGTCGCAAACCGTTTGCGCTCTTTGTTTTATCTACTCCACTATCTTTGTTTTACTTAGATCCACGGTCGCATGCAATTAGTTCCGGAGCGGTTTGAAACTGATCGGTTGCGCCCGTGTGCGATCGGCCTAAGTAGTTTAAATCAATTCATTACTGCCTTAAACTTTCTGATTTTCGTATTTTCTTTTCCAAACGCGTTTTCCCCACTTTTGTTGAATTTTTGTACATTCTAGCTCTGTTTAGGATAAAGTAGGTTGATGCGCGAATTTACAAACTCTTCATTTACGGATATAAAAACGTTTATTTTGCAAGAGAATTTCTACATTGATTGCCCGAAGAATCGCTACGCGAACGCTCTCGTCCGAACGAGAGTCCCCTTCTCAAAAGGCTGTCTTAATCGGAATTAACCTTGTCTCTCGGAGTGACAACTGAAAACACTTTACAGTGGCTCTTTCTCACCCCCATTGCCACCCCTCTGGGTGTCTAAGAGGCGTGCTGATGGATCCTGATTTTAGGAACAAGATTCGCCTCTCCGCACAGTGTGATATTTCGGCGATCTAGCTGGACAAAACTTATGTGATCCAATATCTCGGAAACTATTAAAAGTGTAGGAAAAAATGTTGTACATGAAAATTGTGTATCTTTTAACGACAAATTCACGTATATAGTTAGATTTCAGAAAAATTTATTTTTATAAATTATGTATTAACATTAATACATTTTTACTGCAAAATGTTAGTTAATTTTCACGACAATTTATGTATGCAAACTACAGATCAAGCTACGGAATATGTATTTTTTGAAATTTTGTTTCCTTATATCATGTTAATGCAATAATGCGATAATCTTTTTGTCATTTTATATTTCCATTTTGGAAGAATGCTCCTTCATTTTTTTAAAATTTAATTTCGGTATTGTCTTTGACATTATTGACATTCAATTCTTCAGTAATATATTCCGAGAATGTTTCAACATTTTTAAATTTTGGTTCCAATTCTATAAGTCGAAAGTAGTGGAGCAACCGTGTTGAACTTGGTTTGTTCGGAATATAAACGCGATAGTGTATTTTTTTATTTTTGTAATAAAGACATATTGTAAATATAATACCAGTAAACAATTTTGACAAGATCCTTTAATATTTCTCGGGTAGGCGATATTATGTGTACTTTTTTAAGATTCCAATTTTCGCATGACTTGCGTTTTCTCAATTGTAATTCGAAATATTTAGATCCCAAAAGTTCTAACCTATCGAACTTAAAACACAAATAATTTTTCTTTAATTTGAGGTTAATTAGATGCAAAAATATCAATTACTCTTTAATGGAGAACGATTTGAATTTGGATAGTCGGAACGAGATGCAGTTCCCCTACTGGTTTGAAAATTAAAAAATTATTAGTTGTCCACATTTGTCCACGTTCTGACTGCTTGTGTTCGATAACCTATGAGTCTAGCTTTATGCACAAAAAACATGTATCTCCAACACGATCAAATACTATGTTAAAAGTCTAATCATATCTCGAGAACAGTCGTTAAAAAACACGTTAACTGTTACAAAGGTTTAGAAGGCCAATAAAATGGATTTTGAAGAAAACAAAACGTGTGAAAATATCTTGGAAGACATACAAATTTAATATATCCACCTAAATATCATTAGAGGATACTGGTACAATGCAGTTGTGAATTGAACTCAAGCAAAGGATACGCGTCCATAGGATGAAACATTGTGTGCTCAAAGTTCAGACCCTATTAATTAATAACTATACCTTATTTTTTGGAATGATATTTACGTTTTCTGGTGAAATGGACATTCTATTCTTAATTTATAATATTCATAAACAGATTTCGAAAATTACCGTTTGTCCAGCTAGATCGCTGAAATATCAAACTGTGCTCCGCCTCGAGATATACGAATTTTTGTCATTGGTTCACATCAAAAGTCCACCGCGCAACAAATCAAAGAGAAACATAACCCCGGGTCCACACCGCGGCGAACACGAACAAGAACATAGCCTAAAAACGTTCGCAAAGGTGTTCCTACTGTCGCTAACATGCCGGCGAACATCTACGATGTTTGTACTCCAGTGAAACTGATGTTATGTTGTCGATCCGGGCGATCCGCATCCCCTCCACGGTTGGAAATGCTCGAAAGCAAACCATCGTTTACAACCACCCGCCGGCAGATGCTCCAAAAGGATAATATGCGTGACTGTAGTTAATATTAGTTCCTTAATATTCATCCAACTTTTTATGCTTTTTTTGTTGTATCCTGATGAAAGTATATGCAATATATTGGCGAGATTTTTCTGATAAAAATGATTTGAAAAGTCGGGTATCAGGTTCACATAGCTACAAAAGTTACCTAGTTTTTCCATAGGCCTTAATTATCTCCTGGCACGAATTTTACAATCTGTTTTCTATTTTCGAACAGACTTTCTAATCGGTTACTGATTCACAAAATCAAGTATTAATAACCGAAACTTAAAGTTGTCTGATTTGCATCATGTTTGGTGCCATTTTTATCAGGAAAATCTCGTCAATATATTGCATATACTTTCATCAAAATACAACAAAAAATATACAAACTTGAATGAGTTAATAAGAAAATAATGTTAACTTCGATCACGCATATTATCCCTTTGGAGTATGTATGTACTTACCTGCGGGTGGTCGTAAAGACCAGGCCCAGAATTGGAAGAATAGCAATGTCCAAGCTCCGAGGGTTCGAAAAGGGACAAGAACGAGGAAAAAGGCGCTGTTATTCCCGAACGTGTTTGCCGAATCCACCACCTCGTGGATCGCTGAATTTAGTTCGCGAACACAGTTTTCGCCTAACCCAGCGGGGCTACTTTTACGACTACTTCTACGCCTATTAGGAGGGTCATTTGTTAGCGAACTCTGCTATTTCTCGTCCACACTACGGTGAAAACCGGTGAATAACATGTTCACGAATGATGTACGTGACCAGCGTTCACCGCAGTGTGGACTCGAGGTTACACTGCTCGCTTGCCGAGCGTCAAGGGGAACCCCTCCACCCCAGTGGTGGGGATAGTCATCTTGCATTCATCCAGTCAATCCTGTCTTACATTTATCCAGTCTTATCCAGTCTTTACGGCCAATAACGATAACTCGAGGCGAAGCGGAAAATCTGATTCGATGGCAACTTAACAGTGATGGGCAAAGCCTAGGCTTCGAATAAATCTGAAGTTTGCTTATATGTTTGTCTTTTTCCTATTTTGAAGATTTTCCAAAGAAGGAAACAAGACCAACACATCGGCAAACTTCAGATTTATTCGAAGCCTAGGCTTTCGCCTTTAAAGGTCGATTCAGACTATACAACACAGACCGTCACGTTCCGGCAACGACACGTACCGGCACCGCCACGACAAAACATTAAAACACGCGTTTTAATGGAACTATTCACACTATTCCCGTTGACGGAACGTTCAGGTCGGTGTCTGTTAAGTGTGAATAGTTCCATTAAAACGCGTGTTTTAATGTTTTGTCGTGGCGGTGCCGGAACGTGACGGTCCGTGTCGTATAGTCTGAATCGACCTTAAGACGTCACCGCAACTTCATTACCTTCCTCGTGTTCATCGTGACGATTATCGTTTTGGTCCAAGTCCGAGTATACTCGAACTTCATCTTCGTCAACGTGCGAGTCTGTGCTCCGTATTCCATCGTTTGCACACGCTGTAACAATTGTTTTCGAAGGATTGCCAATGGTCAAACGTGGTTTGACCGTGTCTTTTAAAAACAGCAGTTGGTCATAATATGGCCATTTTGACGTAGGTGTGATTTCTGTGGCATCTGCTGAACGATAGGGAGGCAGTTTTCCCAACTCGACGGAAAACTGGTCGCGCAAATATTTCCATTTCTTTCTCAGTCTTGTTTCTGTGAAGAAACGAGGGTTTCAGTGGAGAACATTATGGAAATTGGTTGGGTACTTTCGTAAATGTTCCCTGGTAATGACTTTCTTAGCGATATTACTTTAGATTATCCCATCCCGACTATCAGTAGCGGTAGAAGGAAATATTAGGCTATTTCATAAGTTCGTGGTGAAAATTTTATTTATAATCCCATAAGTATTCGTATCTTCTATGTCTACCGAAGAAATTTGTTTAAATTAAATGATAATAGATGCTGCCAAATAAATGTTTCATTACAAATATGTACGTGAATAAACTTTGTACACGTGTCCAGGGTGAATCAAGTAAGTGTGTCAAAGGGAAAAGATGAATAGTTCAGAGAGTACTATATTTGTAAGACCAAATTTTTTTATAACTGCAATGATGCATGTGCAATCGGTAGTCGCTTTATTTTTTTTAATGGAAATGCATATTTTTATTGCATAGATTGAATTCTTTCGTCATACTTCGTTAAAAAGTACTAGGGTAAAGTGGTAAAAAAGTTATTATTTCGTGAGATATTTTAAACAATTTATATTTATAAACTATGAAACTTTTACTAATGAAACATTTATTTGGAAACAAGAAACCTATCATTTAATTAAGATAAATTTCTTGAGTAGATATAGAAGATACTTATGGGACTGACTGTACACTCCCATATTAATTTGAATAGCAGAACAGTAATAATCTATTATTATGAATCTACTGTCACTGGTTCCATACTTTTAACACTGTCCAAGAGAGGGGAATGTTTATTTTTTAAATGTGATATAAGTACATTTTTCCTATTTCAAAATATTTAATTGTAATATCTTGTTATAAATATTTAACGACTGAATCATCATTCAAGACGTGTTTATTTAACATTCGACTTCATTTTCGAAAAATGAATATGAGTCTGTGGTTCCATTATAAGAAGAATTACAATAGACATATATGTTTATATCAAATAAAATCAATTTCCATACTGTAGTGCACGATTTTAATTAGGGAAAATATATACATATATTTATAGCTTTTATGATAAGCTTTTACCTTGATGACATTTTGACTTATTGGACTATGTCATTTTAGAAATCTGTGATATATAAACAAAATCGTCGAATGAAAAAAGATTGTATCGTAAACAAACATTGCATACTATAAGTTTAGTAATAAATAATTCTAATCTATGTATAAATTCTCCATTAAAATTCATGTAAAATTTGTTTCTAAGCGGTATCTTATTTCTACAGCAGATAACATAAAACGTGTGTGTATTTTATATAATTATAAATATCTGTCAAATGTTCCTATAAAGCAATTTATGAAAATCAACAGGATGACCATCAAATAAAGAAAAGAAATCACTCATGAAATATTCACTAATAAGAAATAGCATATATATATTAAGTATAATACAACTAACAATAAAAATAAATATGTATTATTTGATATACTTACCGTCTTCTACCATTTCTGCAGAAATTTCCTTCCAGTGCATGTCTACCACAGATCTATTCCAGTGATATTTACTCTTTTTATCCCATATCGGAGTTCTTTTGAAAACCGCGTCTATCAATAGTTCGTTGTACATTTCACTAATTTATGTTACGTTTTATTTACGATGTCTGGTAACAATGAAGCCGAATAGTCAAGCATGCAGTAAACTGTGGCATAGTCGCGTGAAAACGAGTGAGGTTTGTCGCAGGCTCTCGTAGCTTTTCGGCGCAGGTCGACGCAGATCGGCGCCATTCGACGCTGGTCGGCGCTGGTCGGTGCTGGTCGGTACTTCCCCTTCATGCCAATAACCAGGGTCGACTGGCGCCGATGAGCTAGCTCAGTACTTCTCAACCTCTTCCAAGTGTTACGCAAATTAAACGCTGAGCATTTTTCTTTGTTGCAAACCGTAGAAATGAAAATATAAAAATATTAAAAAATTAAATGTATTATTTATATTACCTGAACAAAATCAGCCTACGTTATCATTTACTAATTCACGTCATGTGAATTAGTTGCAGGTAGGTATTGCCAAATAGTGTTATGAAATCATTATTTTAAATGTACCATGATTATTTCCAAAGCATTTCGCGAAATAATATAACGTCAATATAATATGTTACAAATCAGATAATTGTAAAAAGTAATAACCTGTTATTTGACACACTACTTCAGATGTGTTCAGGTTTGCCAAAAAGCAGGAAATCTGCAGAAAAAATAATACAAAGTACTTTAGCGGTGCTCGGCTGAAACGCCACAATACTAATGTTGTTACAATCCAGAACACTACTGCTCTTATCTTTGAAAAAGTGATTCTAATTTTTTAAGACTATATTCCATGCATCTTTTGTTGCTGTTAATAAAAAGAAATAAAATAAAAACAGATAACAGTACTGTACTGTTTAAGAATCTAACTGCAAATATGATACATTTTCCTACTTGTATAATTAAAAAAATTATTTAACCTTTACGTTACATAATTTAGGATGAAGTCTTATAATAGGGGGCGAGGCCTACATAACTACTGGAGCATACACAATTATTAATACAAAAGTGTACATATAAAACAATAATTAAGAAATTTTCATGTTTCTTTAGCGAGTTCAAGGTTTAATAATAATAAATAATATTTTTGGTAGACAGAGTTTTATCCCGAATGTGCTAGCTATATTTATCGATAAAGCTTCATCTCAGATATTATTAAGTACGTTTAACCCTTCTCAAATTATATTTCGTTTTAGACAATTAATTGTACTATAGGACCACTGATGAACACTAAATATGGATTATAGATTGAAAGGTAAATCAAATTCCAATTGTATTGTATCAATTGATGTATGTTAATAATATATAGAATCAAATTAAACATTGATTTGAAGGGGAGTTTGGCTCGAACCATCGTACGAGTCGGACGTGTTTACAAACCGAGAGCTACAGTGTCTCTGAGTGCTAAGTGTGAAATCCAGTACCGCGAGTGCTTACGAAATATTTAGTTAATTACAATCGAATTGTCCACGCCAAGTGCAGTGATGATGCCCCCTGGCAACCAGGGGGCCTCATCCGAGAACAACTTAAAAAATATGAACGTTTCTGAGTACAAAAATGTTCAACTAAACAAATCAACGTGTTCAACAAAAGTACCATCCGAAAGTGTTCCCTTGACGTATGCAGCCGCAACACAAAGCATCACATTCCCGACCAAAGAGCAAGCGGTCATCATGGACGCAATTGATGGTGTGGCCATCAAGGAATTCACATTGGCAATAGCTAAAGTTATTTCACCGGGTAATATCAGATTCGTTTCTAGAGTTTCGAACGGCAGGATATGTATGTACCTCGCCAACCAACACCTTGTAGAAAAACTAACCGACACCGACGTAAACACAAAAGTTGCCAATCACACGCTGCGTATTCGTCCCCTTGTATCCAGAGCTAAGAGAATAATACTCTCTAACGTATGTCCAATAATTCCGCACGAAGCAATTGAGTCAAAATTATTAACTATGGGAATCAGGTGCGCGTCTCACCTTATATTCATACGGGCTGGTATGAACGAACCAGGGTTCTCTCACATCTTAAGCTTTCAGCGACAAATATATATTGAACCCAGTGATGCAAACAAACTTCCCGACAGCATTCAGATTGAGTACGAGAACGTTGACTATTGGATTTATATTTCATCGGACAGCCCAAGATGTTTTATCTGCAAAAAAGATGGCCACTTGGCCAAACAATGCCCAATTGATAACAATACCGTGCACATGTCACTGTCCGAAAAACCATCGATCAACAAGGAGAAAGGTAATACTCTTGAAGAAGTTATAGCTGCAGAAGACAACTCTAAAGTCTTTGAACCTGAGACTAATAACTATGAGAGAAATGACAAAAGACCGTTATCCACTACCGAATCAAGCTCTATCGTTAGAGAAATCGTAATCAACGATAATTCTTCTTCAGATGACACCGACAACAAGATCAACCAGGAACAAATTCTTAAAAGTAAACGGACAAAAGGAAAGAAGACAATAAAGAAAAGGCGAACAGAATCGTGTAGCAGCGAACATGAAACCGATATTGAGACAATGACTTTACCAATCAAAGCAATTCTCACCCAACGCCCAAATACGTATGTCCTAGATTATATTAATTTCAACAGTATTCTACGAGAAACTATCGGCAACCCCAACCATCTTGAAATTGCCAAAAAGTACACAGACGACATCAAAGGTTTAAGCAATATGCTGCACGACATCTACCCAAGTTTAACACACCGAAGCGTCAAAAACCGGCTGTCCAGAATCATCAAGAAACTAAGAGAAGGTATCCCATCTCAGGCTATCGCCCCCCTGTTCAATTTAACAATATTCTCTACTATGGCACAACATACCTCTGGGAATAACAATCTTTCAACGTTGCGCATTCTGTATTGGAACGCTAGGAGCATCACACAACGGAAAGAAGAACTGGAACAACTGCTCCGGGAAATTGACATCTTTATTTGTATTGAAACGTGGCTTAAGCCGGAGCTGAAAATAGCTTTCAGAGGATTTAACACGGTCCGGAAAGACAGACTTGACAGAAGAGGGGGAGGTATCGTTTTTTTTATCAAAAGATCCATCCATTATCGTGTATTACCAAAGATTAGATCTTTTAATAACTTCATAGAAACATGTAGCGTTAAGTTAATGAACACTGTCCCATCTATTAACATAGTAGCACTCTACAGACCACAGGGACCTTCTTTAAGCCAAAACAAATGGGACTGCAACCCTGTCTTCTCGTAGGCGATTTCAATGCTCACAACACAATATGGAATTGTTCAAATAACGACTGTAACGGTGACAGATTATTTAATAGTTTAATAAGTAAGAATATCTTTTTGCATAACCCAGATACCTTCACACGTGTCGATTTAAGCAACAATAACAAATCTAATATCGATTTAATTTTTTCGACTCCAGACTTAGCTGATAAATCTCTGATTAACATTTCGGAGGATACTCATGGATCTGATCATTTTCCCGTCGATATAGAAATTAGCATTGAGAAAACCAAACATATCTACAGAAAAGTCACCAATAGATTGTCTTCAATAAATACGGATTGGTACAGTTATCAAGAATTCATGACACAAAGTTTCCAACTATTTTTATCTCGCGAATTCAATATACTAAACTGCGAGGAAAAATACGATTTCTTTACTAATCACGTTAGAGAAACTATCGTAAAGAACACACCCTCGAGGGTAACGGTCAATGTCAATATTCATCGAAACCCAGTACCGTGGTGGGATAAAAACTGTAGTCGAATTCAGAGGTTGAGGAAAGCGGCCTACAAAAAATGGCAGCATACCTATGAAATGTCTGATCTTATTAACTATAAAAAATGTGTTGCATCTGCAAAGAGAACTTTTAAATTAAAAAAAAAAGAATATTTTCGCAATTTTATTTTAGAGTTTGACACTAAAAGAGACAGCAAATACTTCTGGAATACCTGCAAAAAACTTAAAAACAAATGGACATATATCGGGAGCAGATCAATGCCCCCTGAACAACGGCTAGAAAAAATACGCAATGGCTTAGATAGAATCGCTTCCCCTTGGGCTGCCTGCAACCCGGATGATTTCTCACAGGAGACTCACAATCAGTTCTTTGACAAACCGTTCGATTTCACTGAATTTAACTACGCATTGGACTTTAAAAATGACAAATCTGCACCCGAAAAAGATGGAATAGATTACCACTCGCTAAAAATTCTACCATACAATATTAAATTGGTTCTACTAGATATATTCAATGAAATGTACATTGAAAAACGGTATCCTCAAGACTGGCAATCAGTTCAAATGTTTTTCATTGATAAACCCAATAAATCAGACGTCAGATCTATTTCTTTATCTTCATGCATATGTAAAGTTTTTGAAACCATGATTAAGAATAGAATAGAATGGTGGTTCGAAAATCAAAATATCGTACCCATATCTCAATCTGGATTTCGCAGGCCAGATCATGCTCAGATAATTTAGCTGCTTTACTAACCAGCATCGACACTGCGATAAACCAAGGCAAAGACACCCTAGGAGCCTTTCTAGATGTTCTAGCCGCCTTTGACAATGTAAACTGTGGTTTCCTTATCCAAAAATTAATTAAGGTAGGTTGTTCTCACAATGTCATACATTTCATCAAGCACATAACGTTTGGTAGGAAAATTACAGCTATAGATGGAACCACAAGAAATGTCACAGGAACAACTTGGAAGGGTTTGCAACAGGGAGGGGTCTTAAGTCCGCTCTTATATAACTTTTATGTAGCTGAAGTTGCCAAGAATATTCCAAACAAGGTTCAAATATCGCAATTCGCAGATGACATTGCTGTCTATTGCAGCTCTCCTACCGTTAGCGATAGCAAAAAATTACTCGAACAATCGATTAATACTATTCATACCAATCTTAAAACTGTTGGTCTCGATCTATCACCTCGAAAAACAGCGTTTATTCACTTCAATAACAGACGCATTCTACCTGGTAAAACCGAAATTATAATAGAAAGCTGTGTTATCAAGTCAAGCGAAACAATCAAATTCCTAGGAATCAATTTTGACTTCGACATGAAGTTTAAAGTCCACATAAATACTATGAGGAAAAAATGTTTTAGGCTGTTAAATATCATGAAATTTCTTTCTGGGGTTTCATGGGGTGCTTCACCCGAGACCTTGATGTTAATATACAGTAGTATCATAAGACCAATTATGGAATATAACTGCTTCATATACTATCCGAAAAACAAAAGCCTAATGCTTAAACTAGATCGAATCCAGTTTGCTGCAATTCGATTGGGACTGGGGTACAGAATAAGCACTCCCACAAATGTTTTGTTAAGCGAAGCTAAAGTCATTTCCTTTCGAGATAGAGCCAATTTTCTAGCTAAAAAATACTTATTCAAATGTTACTTTTATACTTCCTCAACTCCAAACAAAATACTATTTAAGAACAATACAAACCTAAACGCTCCTTTTTCCAACCGACGAATAAAGCACCGCTTGCTAGTCGAAAATCTTTTTAGTTTGCTGGAATCACGACCTAACCTAGCGATTGCTGAAAAACATCCTATTTTTACCATGAACTACAACATACTATTTAATATTCCACCTACTGATGTTCATTTGGGTCTATTATTACAAGACTCTTCGGATCCTAATGTTCTGCTGCGAGATTTTATTGAATCTAACCCTCAGAATATGGTTACAATATACACCGATGGCAGTGTTGCAGAAAATTCTGAATCAGTAGGTGCTGCAATATACAGTCCACATCTAAATATCTTCCAAAAATTTAGCTTGGACATAAATGCATCAATCTTCACAGCAGAGTGCTACGCTATTAACCGAGCATTGAATATTATCAATTTACACAGTTCCACAAACTTTCTCATCTTCACAGACTCTCAAAGTGCAATCAAATCATTACAGAAACCAACTTTCAAACATAGTGTCAATAACCAAATCATTGAAATTAAAACAAAATATTCAACTTTTATGTCAAATAGCGAAAACCAGAATTTTATTAAGTTTATCTGGATACCAGTACTGCAGGAATTACCGGTAATGAGAAAGTAGACTCACTTGCGAAAGAAGCAACTAAAGTAAGTCCTTCCGCAAATATCAAGGCTTCGATTACTGATCTAACCAGGCAACTAAAAATTCGAGCAAGATTGTCCATTAATACCCTAATCAAAGAGCAAGGCCTAGTTAAAGGTGCCAACTACGTCAGATTTTACCATAAAGACAACGGCAATCCATGGTACACTGGACTTGGTCTTTCCAGAGATTTTTTAGTTTTCCTTAATACATGTCGAGCCAACCACTATAATTTAAATGGCTCATTGGCAAGGGTTAACATTATAACTAAGAGTGCTTGTCCATGTGGAGCAGAAATCCAAGACCTGAACCATATTATATGGCAGTGCCCAGACTACGAAAACGAACGTAAGGCATTAGAAACAAATCTGCTTAAAAGCAAGTACTGTTTCCCTCTTAGCATAAGTTTCTTTCTGTTTAAACCTGATATAAAAGGTCTGAAAATGATTTACAACTTTTTCAAACAATGTTCTATAAGAATTTAGAAATTATGTAACACACATATATATAACACTGTACTTATTATACAGAGCATTTGATTTAAGGTAGTTGTAAATACAATGTAAGTTGTAATACAAAGTGTGTAATGTAAGTTATACTCTAAGTCATATTGTAAAATAACCGTGTATGTACTATGCAACTTGTAATGTATATGCTATATAAACCTTGTATGGTTTAAAGCAATAAATAAATAATATAATATATATACATTGATTTGAACTCCTGGAATCTATATCATTACAGAGAATTGGATCAGGATTTGATAATAGAATTTATTACCATTGATAATAGAAATAGATCAAACATCGAAAATCTGGATGATGTATATATGACTAGAGATTCATAGAATTATAGAGGGTTAGGCCTATGTTTGATAACACTAGATTACAAAATACAAATGAAAAAATGTGCATTCAATGTCACAATTTTTTTCTTACGTATTTTGGTCTACTAAACTTGAAAATCGCAAGAAACAATTTTTCTATGGACATGCTTATTTTATATGAATTTTTGAATTTTTTTTTTCGATTTTTTTCTCACATACGTTCACATTTTAGACCATATCTCGAGTTAGAAACGTCCGATTGAATAGCGCAAGACGCCATTTTAAAGGTAATCGAATTTCCAACAATTGATTTTTACATTATTTTCCAATCGGTTCAATAGTTTAAATGTTACGAGCCAATATATATGAGAAACTTTGATTTTTTCGGCTAAAATAGAACAGGAATATTTCTTCCATAGCCATGGAAAAATAGAAATTATCAAATTATGTCCAGTTTCTTATTGTTTACGTATAGATCGCACTTTTACGAATCCTTATATGGCCTAAAATGTGAACGTATGTCAGAAAAAAAATCGAAAAAAAGAATTCCAAAATTCATATAAAAAAATCTATCCATAGAAAAATTTTGTCTTGCGATTTTCAAGTTTAGTAGCCCAAAATACGTAAGAAAAGAAATTGTGGCATTAAATGTACATTTTGTCTGTAAACTAGTGTAATAGAATTTAATCATTTTTCTAATAGCACGTAATCAGAGTTTGAAACGTAAAGCAAACGCAAGCTCCAGCAAAAACAATTTGTTCCTGATATGGTAGAGGTTTTTAACAGGATGAGCAGTAGTCAAAACAGTAGGTGGCTCCTCTTGATCTTCTCTGGGAGGTCCTAATTCTTGTTTGACATAGTTTTTCATATATAGAATATCGATTTACCTTTGCAATTCTTCTCTGTTCGCCAGTTTGCTCGCTTCCTCTTCGAGATGGTGGAACTCCAGATCCTCGAAGGCCTTCCTTTCAGATTCCAGGATGTCCTGCTGAGTCGCGAGCTTCTCGCTAACGTTTTGTTGTGTGGCTTCGTCCACGCAATTCGCGAGCTCTTCCTCCAAACGACCGCAAACCTGTTGAGCCCTCTGAACTCTCAGCTTAGCATCCGCTTGCAAATTCGCTTGCGTCGTATTATCTTCGGCCATCTGCCTCTCTAGCTCGTTTATCCGCATCTGCACCTTTATCTTCTCTCCTTCGTCCTGACTGAGCTTCAAGGATTCCGATTCATACTCCGCGGACAACAGCGCTTTCTCTAATTCGAGCTGAGACAGAAACACAAATTTAATTTCGATTAGACAAAAACAATTTTAATATGCTTAGTTCAGACTGCTGAATTGACAAAGAACTTAAGTAAGTAAACAAATAGCTGTACAGGCATAGTTTAATTTGATAATTTTAAAAAAAGAACCAAAGGTGTGTATGTTAGTGTGAAAGTGGACTGCACAGTGAATGAACACATTTAGTAAAATAGTCAGTGAACGTGTACTACAACGTTATCTATTAATATTCACTAGTAAATATATACTTTCACTGCTTGTCATCAGTAAATTTCATAAAAAATGATTGTTTCCGTGCAAATATTTGTCAGCTACTTTTAATTTTCATCATATAATTATTGGAAGTGTTTCATTGTCCATGAAACAGAACCACAGACCATTGACCTGGACTTACCTGGGCCTGATCTGGATTTATCTAGCCTTGTTTTCAAGACAATAAAATGTTTCTGATAATTATATTTTGAAAACTAAAAAATAATGGTAGTTAACGTATGTCAAAATATCACAAATATCACAAAAGAACTTTTGTATATCGCATAATCTGTTGCAATATACAAAAATTGTAATTACGGATGATTTAAATATATTTGACACCAATTTCAGGTAATGAAAATTAGTTAATGTTAGGAAGTGTATACAATCGAACCTTGATGATTATAGAAAAACGATGTTTATGAAATAATCAAAGTAATCAATTCAATGTCAAGAGGCTTCACGCATACTATCCACTTTCACTACATGTGGTCATCACTATCAATTACAAACCCCTCTCCAACCTCTCTCGTTGCTAAGTGACTACTTGTAAACGCATTGCATTGATCGAGGATTTTATGCAACAATCGTGTTACCAATGTATGTACAAATACTATTGGATAGAAGCCAATTGGATAGATGTAAACAACACAGATTATTCACAGAAAATTCACAGATTACTTCAGCGAAGGTATACATTCATTAGCAATTTCACAATAAATACTAAGACTTCACCATAAGTATAAAATAAAATGCACAAGAAGAACTACTTAAATGAGCAATCCTTTTTCGATCACCTGTTCCAAAATTTGCTTTAGAAACTTTGCTCTGGAAAACAAGAAAATGATCCTCAAGGTGTCTCTTCCTGGAATTTGCGTTAAACTTTCCGACGACATTTCGTTTGAAAACACTCCATGCACGAGTGATATATCACGACTGAACAAGAATACGAAGAGTACGGCGATACCAAGGGGAAAGGACTTATCGCGAAATCCAACAAATCAAATAAATTTTAACTCGAAGGCAAACTTATAAGTATCTATAGATAAGGAAACGAGACTCATACTGTTGGTTATCCTTGTGGTTTATTTTCAAACACAATAATTTCTTTCTTCTTTTCATTTTTACAAATGTTCCTTCGTTAAAGTGGAAACATAGCATCGTTCTTTAGGTTGTTGCAAAGCTATAATCCATCACTTCTTGAAATTGATAGCATGGAGTGAGTCGTGGTCGACTATGACTCAGGTTGTTAATCAGTAGGGCTGGCTTTAAGCCAATTGAGCCAATTGTACTCAATTGGGCCCTACGCTTAAATTAACATTTTTAACAAATTATTTCACTAAAATAGACATTGGTTGTGAACCCGAGGACACTCTCAGAAGTGATCCCAATTGGGCCCCATGCCTTCTAACTTCAGTTAGGCAAATGAGTTGTCGATGTTAAGAAGTAAAAATGTTATATATTTTATATTTTATCACTATAAGACCGGTTTAAACGGATCCATGAGTTTGTTAGAATCAAAATGATATCATCTTAAACATATTTATCAATTTCGAGTTATTTTTACTATAAAATAAGAACTGTTTCATTGAAAAGTTTCATAAAAAATATCAATTACTACTTCATAAAGAGAATAGCTCTACGCGGTACACTAAAATGTAGAGGAGAACTACTGGTCCGCATTGTAGCCACATTGGGCCACAGGGATAATGTAAACAGATCTGAGGTTCTGGCTGGACACAGGGTGTCCCAATAACGTATGGAGGTCCTTGAAAGGGGTGGTTCGGAGAGTGATTTGAAACAACATCTTCAACAACTTCGCTAAGGAAAACGACATAATTTTTTCGTCTCGCTAATACAATAAATATTTATAAAAAAGGTTCAAATTCTGATGCATTTATTTAGTATAGATATGATACTGTTGCAGAGTTGGATAAGATGTGTTACGTGTCTCAGAGATAACACTTTTTATAAGTCCAGCTTATTATTATCTCCAGACTCTACGAAGGCGGCGCTAGTGTCTGGTCTTGTATAACTTCTGTGAGGATAATAATATGAGTTACAGCATATATATTTTATACTTTTGCTATTATCAGTTGTTCCGTTGGATATGAACGTGTGATTTTTCCCAAGAATCTGTTACAATTGACCGCGATGTTCGTTAAGTATTTGTTAACTATATCTCATTGTCTCTTACTCCCGCCCTGATCTCCAGTGACGATAAATTATTTCTAGCGTATGTGTGCCTTCGCAAAAAGTAATCTGTGCATGTCGTGTTAATCATTGAATTATTATTAAAATAATTATTCTTTAGACGAATATTCGAGCGATTCGAGCAGTTCGAATCTTTACTAGTAACTCGAAAGTTAAAGGTCTGTTCGAATATATTCGAGTAATTCGAAAGAAAAACTTCGAGCTAGACATTCATTTTCAAGTAAATCGATGTTTTACAAGGACTCGAAGATTTGAGCTGTTTGATTTTTTCGAGTAGTTTGCATTTTTTTCAAACAGTTCGTCGATTTCAAGTAGCTCGGAATTTTCAAACATTCGATTCGGCTCCGAGCAATCGAATCGAGTTGCTCAGCTGAGTTCGTAAATTACGAGTATTCGCACACCCCCTACTATTCCTACCCTTAAGTATCATATTTAAAGGTTATACAGGGTGTCTACGTATCAGTTCGAACATACGTAAAATGTCAATTGTACAACAAATTTCCAACAAAAAATTACTCTTAGACATTTTCTTTGTGTCGCTTTATTCTCGAGTATTTTCACTTTTAATATGTTTTCTGCGCTTTCGACTTGACACTCTGTAAACGGCCATAACTTCACCAAATTACAGTGCAAACTTAAAACTAAGTACACCATTCGAAAGAGCGTTAAATTTCCCAACTCCGCAATATAAAACTAAAATTTATTACGTAGATTTAACAAGTGAAAAATTAGGTTAAACTTTATATTTGAAAATTAAATAAAATTTCACTTTTTCTGTATCCGTTTTTCGGTATCAAAGAGATAGTTATTTGGCGGGTACTCTTCGGGAAAAACTTCATGGATGTCTCAGCTTTTGAATGGTATTGTCAAAACAAACTGTATGGTGCGTTCAAAATGCAACAAAGTATCCAAAATGCAAAAAAGCGTTAAAAATGCCCGCCTCCTAAATCAATACTTATCGGTTCTCCTGCACCGAAAACATTGATTTTTTGCTGTGTGAAATCGATCATGTTCCAATCTCCATATCATTTATCGGTACACCGAGGTTGATTTCGATTAAATAGTCTCTAAAAACGAAAATTCTATGGATACATGTTCAAAAACAATTATTATTCACCTCGCACTCGGGCTCTACACGGCTGAGAGAGGGTTGAGGTGTCAAAAAATCTTTTTTCCCCTAATTGGGGAGGCTTGAGAGTGTCACTAAAAAATAGATCAAACCCGATATCAAGTTAATTTTAAAGTGACAAGTCGATTTTTGTTAAAAAATGTCGATTTTCACCTAAAAACGTCCGCTTTTCTGCATTCAAACGTCATTTTCTCCCTAAAATACCACCGTAGACCTTTTTTTGACAGTACCATTCAAAAGCTGAGACTTCGAGGAATGTTTTTCCCAACGAGTGTCCGCCAAATCAACTGTGTATTTAAAACCGGAAAACGGATAGAGAAAAAGTCAAATTTTTAAAAATTGTCACAATGTAAAGTTTGACCTAATTTTTCACTTATTAAACCTACGTAATAAATTTTGATTTTGCATCAGGGAGATGGAAAATTTAATGCTCTTTTGAATGGCGTACTTAGTTTTAAGTTTTCACTGTAATTTAGTAGAGTTATGGCCCTTTAAATAGTATCAAGTCGAAAACGCAGAAAACATATTAAACATATTAATCAATCCTGAAAATTGCAAACAAATAGTAATAATTTAATCTTGTTTCTGAACAGTAACCAGTATCTAATAATTATATCATTATAATTAAGAGTAACTAATAAATAGCTACAGATGAGATAATAAAAGTACACTTTTACTAGAGAATGAAATCATTACAATAAACATTTACTGATTACTTTAGCGAAGGTATACATTCACAAATAATAGTTTACGTTCATCAATCATCCGCCTGTATGGTAAGATATGCAGTAGGTGTAGAAAGTATTCGTACACCGATCAATTTCCAAAGAAACTATGTAAAATTGTAATTTATTAACTTACTTTTTATAAACAATGACATTCTACATATTCTCGGAAATCTCTAGAATAGATACGGTACAAAAAATGTAGCTATTTATGTAAATTGCGAAATTAACAAGAAAAAAACAATCGATAGAAATGTTGAAGCAATAAGTATTCGTACAACTGTTTAATTTTTAAAACTATATTGAAAAAAAAAAGAAATTTATATTACTTTATAAGTATATAATACTTCCTTTGTGGGATTTCCTTTTGATTTTCTAATTATTGTAACTCTTCTAAGCATTAAATTACCTAAATTATTAGTTATTCGAAGTGGGATCTTTTTCCATTCCTCTATTAAAATCTTTTTTAAAAGTACTTTACTGGAAATTTGATGTTTTTTAATTTGTACGGAGCAATAAACTAATGTGTTTACGTTACAAACTCTACTGTAAATGGTTCGTCATAAGAATCGTACCAATACTTATTGCTTCTGTACTTTTACCCACTTTCCACATTTTTTTGTTAATTTCATTTTAAATGTTATTTGGACTATATTTATCTTAGAATTTCTAAGAATATGTAAAATATCATTGATTACAAAAAAAGAAGTTAAGAAATTGCAATTTCGCACAAATGTTTTTTGGGAAATTGATCGGTGTTCGAATACATTCTACACCCACTGTACAACGTGGGGCAATAATGGGAAAGAAAGTGGTCAAATTTTGTCTACCTATTCCTTAGGGTGTTACAACCCACAGCCAAATCAGGGCCAACCTGAAGGACATTATTGTATTCAAATCACTAACCTCTCTGCTAATTTCTTCCTCTTGAATTTCGATATCCGCGACGCTCCTCTTCAGCGCGTCCATATTTCCAAGAATGTGCAGCTTCTCGTTCTGAAGGAACTCTATGTACTTCCGTCTGTCCTCTTCCTCGAGTTCCTTCCTCTCCTTGTCAGCCTTGGCTTCGTTCGATTTCGCATTGTCCTTCTCGGAATTGTTCTTCTTGGGAATCATGCAAATCTCTTTGGACTTAGAAAGCATAGACAGCTGCTCGATAGCCTCCAGAAGGTCGTCGTTTGATATCGCCAGCTTGTTCTCTATCATCTCGCACGAGTTCGACAGCTGGCCATTCTTCTTTGGCATGGAATGATTTTGATTATTGTTCTGCGTCGAAGTGATCACGACGTTCTCGTAAAGGCTGAGATTCCCGAGCGTCGGCGTCGAGTTATCGTAATTTCGTGCGTTGTTCGCTTGTGACTTGATTCGCGTACCATTCAACTGGATCGTCCCGTACGCGGACGTCTCCTTCGTTGGGTCGTTAGTTTGTGCGTAGCTACCGTTGTTGTTGTTCAAGACGGAGTTGTCGATCATCGCGTTCTCGTAGCTCGAGCAACGAGCTTGCGAGATCGAACCAGAAAAGCTCTGGTCCCCGTAGCCAAGAACGTTTGGCCACTTGGTCGATTGATTGTTGTTCGGCGTGATTGACTGAGGATGATCCTGGCCGTTTATCGTTTGGTACTCTCCCTGACTGGTCTGATTTCGACGACTGATAGGTGAGCTGCCGTTCTGGAAGATGATCTTTGAATTTTGCACGCACACGTTCTCGTACGATGCCGAATTGGATTGTTTTGTCTCGTCGAAAGAGAAATGTGGCTGGTTTTTAGATGGGCTCTTCGGACTGTCGAAAGGCGAATTGTAGCCTAGTCTTTTGTCGCGTGGAAGTGAGCCGTTCGTTTTGATTCTGTGGGAAAAAGATAAGGGATGGTAAAGTTTATATCAGAAACACGTGAATCTATGAGATATAATTATTCGATCTTAATTATAATTACATGATTAACCCTATATAATCCTGGATGACTCTGAACACACTACTTATTATTTATAATTTTTCAAGTTTGATTTAATTCTACTGGTATTAGGTATCAATTGTGGTAGGTCATATCAAGTTATGTTGTTGCTCACAATTTATTTATAATAATTAGTTGGAAACTCGTGTTTACTAAAGCGATCTTTTCAATTTACGTTTCTAATCTTGGTAGTGACACTGTGACACTGGACTATCGGACTATTGATGACCTCAATGCTTATGATTTTATAATGTAAACATAAGCCGCATTGATAAACTAGGTAATTCCTATTTAGTGATCTTTATAAACTATTTCGTGTTTACTTTCAACGCGTGAACAATAATATTGATCTACAAGCTGCCGCAGTATCAACGCAATATTGGATACAAGAACCCCTGCAATGGTCTAATAGAGTATTGCCTCGTTAATCGATTGTGATTGGATTCATTCCTGATCTATTACCGAGAGCAACGAGCATAGAGTGCTTCGCATGTTCTATCATCTATCGAAAGTGGAAGACTTCTCAGACAAAACGAATATAGAAGTGGGTCTGGATACATTTAGATATTGCTGTTGTATAAGATATTGATCATACTTAAAACGTCATTGACCTGTAAATAAAACAAATTTGTAAAACAATACCATTTTATTACCATTCTGGTTATATTATAGATATAGTAAAATATTTATTGAACTTAATATACCTTTGTTTTAAAAATAAAATTACAAACAATATCAGAATTTCTCTTAAATTTCAGAAAATCTGGATTGCAACATTGTTAGATTGGGAAAGAGTACCATTCTGGTTATATCATAGATATAGTGAAATATTGATTGAACTTAGCATATGATAAGTACACGATAAGTGAAGGAATACTGCAATGTGTATGTACAAAGGTATTGTGATAAATTCTAGATTTAAATGCATAACTTGTTTCAACGAGGATAATCGTTCTTATCATACTTCAAGGAAATCTGTGAAGTGGTTCACTGAGAATACAGATAATATAGAGAGTGAGGTATTTAAGGATTATCCATTTGAATAACTTCTTTTAGTTATTCAATTACAGGGTTGCGAGTAATGAATTACTTTTTTAATATTCAATTGACGATTATTTTAAGCAGAATTCATTCAAAGTCATTTAATTGTCGTTTACTTTAAGCGGAATTAAATTAAAGTCATTTAATTGTCCATTACTTTAAGCAGAATTATTTCAAAGCCATTTAATTGACGATTTGTTTATAAATATCTTCAATGTTAAAAGACATTTATATAAAATTCAATTAATTGTATAAGTAACACGTATAAGATTATGAGATAGATGCCGGATATAACCGGCGCTCGTACCGAAAGGTTATGCCGGTTATGCCAAATTAGCTGAACTGTTTCATATTTTTATTATATTACTTTAACTTATACCTAAGTTAAATATTTGTTTTATTTGAAATTATTTTTATTTGAATTCTGCTTAAAATAATCGTCAATTGAATATCTTCGATTAAATTCGCTCCTATTAATCGTCAATTAAACGACTTTCGATTAACTCTGCTTAATTTAATTTTAATTAAATAATTTTTAATTACATTAATTTAAAATATCTATTAATTAAGTTGATTGAATTAAATTTGTTTAAATTAATTATTTAATTAAAAAATTGTAATTGATTATTATTCAAACCCTGTTCAATTATATCCCACTCGAAAACAAGCAGTACTGATCTCACACATTCTTTCCTATCCCAGAAACTAAGCAAGTTATCCAAGTGATCTCGTCTAAGTGCTTTATCTTGATATCTACTTAATACTTTCGAACATGTTTGTGCAAATGGTAACGGTTCTTATTAAAAGCAAACTTCGATCACATAGCGAGGCAATACTGTATCTACATATAAATATCCTAACCCTCATACTCAATAATACGTATCTACATCACATTACTAATCTCAACAACCAAAATTCTTACACAAAAAGTTTACCTGTTAGGCTGCCTGGGCTTCTCCATGGTGCTCTGTCTCTCGTACTCGGCGCACATGGCAAGAATCTCTTCCAGTCGCAACTTCTCTTGCCTCTCGACCTCCTGTTCCCTTAACCTATCCTCCTGCGCCTGTTTCCTCTTGTGCTCAGCCTCCCTGCGTTTGTTCTCCGCGTCGATTTGCCTCTCGCGGAGTTCCTCCAACGAGCAACAGCTCCCAACACTGGGCGTTGGACTCTTCACACGACCTAAACTCCTCTTTGGCTCGTTGTACTTCGGATTGCGATTGAACGCGGGACTCGGCGGCTGGATTCTCTTGATGTTCGGATTCGAGCCAAACTTTTGCGCGCCGGAGGTGCTCCTCAGACTTCCGGTGCAGTAGTTCCCGTTGCTGGGGCTGTTGCTGGGGCTGTTGCAGATGCTGGGATTCGAGCCGAACTTGTCCAGTTGGAGGTACTCGGTGGTGGTGGTCTTGGCGACGATCAAGCTTTGGCTCATGTCGTAATCCTGCGCGTTCAGCTGGTCCAGATCGCTCGATCTCTGGCAAGTCATGCTACGAGACATCAGGTCCCCCTGGTTGGCGGTGTTCTTCTTGTTGTTGCTGTCGCGGAAGTACGGCTTGTAGGTTTTTAAGTAGGATTCCGCGGTGGAGTACATCTGGATCTGATTGTGGTTAGCTGGAGGGGTGTTCTGATATTGGAGATTCGGAGTGTTGGATCGACTGGGGGTTCGCGCGTCGGTTCGCAGTCGGTTTTCATCGGTGCAGTGATTCGGTGAAGAGGAGGCGAAACAGTTGCCAGGCGCTGACACGTTCAAGAAATGACCGGAGGCGGGAGAACTGAACGAAGGTGTGTTCGAACGACTTCGATCCAAGTTGGTCAGATTTTGCAACGGCGAATTGTTGTTATTGTTCTTCAGAGAGACCAAACTGGAGGACCTCGAGTGTCCCAGGATCTGATCGGCGGGAACGTTCGTGGTGACGGCGCCGGCTGGAAATACTTTGGGGGAGACGCAGTTGTTTCGGTTTTGTTTCGCCAGCATCTCGAACTTCGTCAGCTTCCCCAGGAAGCCGATTTCGTCGTCCGAGTACGAGTTCCTCGGCGATTTTCGTGGCGCAACCGGTGGCTTCCTTTCCAAGTGGTAGTTTTCTTGTACCTGGTTCTCCGGCAGCGAGAAACTTATCGGCGCCATTGAGATTCTAGAATGAGGCAGGACAGATCGCAAGTGCTTCGCTTCGGCTGGATGATTGAAACGCATGTAGTTCGATCTGCCAATCGACAGCATGCAACCTGAAATGTTTAATCATGTTGTGAGATTGGAAGATAATTTGTAAGTTCCGAAATTTATTTTAATCTTCTATTGTATGTACAGGGTCAGCCGCGTAAAGTGTTACAAGCTATTTTCTCGGAAATTCCTCTGTGTGATATCGACAAGCTTCTTTTTAATGTTATAGAGTACGATAGCCTTTTCATGTGATGTATGGGGTACTGCTGAATGGGGGAAACTGCGGAATGTCATATAAATTTTTGATTTTTTGGATAGCCTTTTTAATAACAAATAATGTTTATTTGAACATTTTTTTTATATTCTGGATAATTTTACAGCAAACAACTAATAACTTTTAAAAGCATTTCTTGTTCCGCTTTAAGTGTGTTTATGAACGTGTTTTTGTATATAATGACTTAACACAGCTTGGAAGCGTTTATCAACATGAGAAAATAGCTTGTAACACTTTTACGCAGCTCACCCTGTATAATGGGACTGGCCAAGAATTTGTATTAATCTTATTGGGAACATCTATCACAAACCTGGGCACTTTTGAAATTATGTTTGAAATATTATTGCAAATTTACTTTATTTTATAATTATTTTTATACATGTGATCACATTCGAAATAACATTATTTGAAATATTATGTCAAATAACAAATTATCTTGTTTCTTAATTATTTGAAATAAATGTGAACTTGTTCTTCAAAATAATATCATATGAACACATTCATGGCAAATAATATCACGTTTATTATTATTATTATATATGATTCGAAATTAGTTGAAGTTTACTCTTAAATATTTGTTTGATTAAGAAAGTGCAATTCTTATCTCTAGGGGGACCAGAAAGTAATGTCGTTTTTGCGAGTGCCAATACTTGTTTATCATTTATCGGTATCGATAATTTGCACACTAGATAGCAATAGGTTGTTGACAACGAGAGCGATTACATAAGTGATTAAAAATAAAAACTTGTTAGAAATTTATTTGTTTGAATTTAATGTAAAAGAAACTATATTACTTTCTGGTCCCCCTAATATATGTATTTCCCACGTCATAGGATCATATAATTTAATACAAACATTTGTGGACTTATGTATAGGGTTAAAGTTGATTTTAATGGAATATGATTTTCAACCTTATAAAACATTACTTTAAGTACTCTTATAGACCGAAAGTTTTCCTTGTAATTCGCTGTTGCATTGGTGCTAAATTAATTATAACATTTTTGATCAATTGTCACTAATTCCATGAACAGAAATCAATTGAAATTATGTGACATTAATTACATTAAGGAATTAATTACTTTATATTTCAAAAAAACCTCAAGGATCATTTCTAAAGAAAGCAAGTGCGTATGTTCTGAATGTTCCTTCTAGTAACATAAATATATTAAAACAAGTAAATATTGCTACCATAAATAAAACGTAAACAAATTCTTTATCACTTTTTTAGGAGGCGAAGTACAATGCCACCCATAAAATAGAAACATTAGAATTATTTGTGTTTTCCAAAAAATAATTGCTACCTCAAATGAACATCAAATATATTCAATGTATTGGATGTATCGAATTAAATTTCGTTGACGAGGATTAACTATTTAAGCATCTTCTTGAGGACACACGGGCATGGTCATTCGAATTTAAGTCAAGGTCTTACCTTGAGCGAGTCTCACTGGTGAATTTATCGGTACACCATCGACTGCCGTGCTTCCATTTATGGGGTGAAGAGTGACCACGCCGTTATTGTTTTCAATCGCGCAATGAATGGACTCGACCCCAGTACCAACCACAGAAATGTCTGCGTCTCGACTTGATCCCAGGGTTAGCTTACCTAAAGAAAACAATTCAAATAGAGAATTTTACACAGTCTAATTATACAAGGCTCTATTAAACTGTAGGTACAAATGTGATGTTTAGGCGTTGACAATACTCACAGATAAGAATAGAGATAGAAAAGTGTTGATGAACTAGAAAATAAATAGGGAAACCGGTCCAATGACCTTGACCTTGACATATGTTTTCAAGGGCACCCTCCTGAGTAACATTCAAGAGGTAAAGTTCATAAGAAACAGTTGATGACTATGTAAAATGAAGACATTAAAGGCGGTAAAATGAAATAATTTTTTTAAGAAAAAAAAAAAGAGAATATGTAGAATGTCATTGATTATAAAAAAAGAAGTTAATAAACTACATATTCACACGAAAGCTTTTTAGGAAATTGATTAGTGTACAAATACATTCTACACCCACAGTATTTTTTTATTAAATTATTTTCACAGAAGCATTCTACAGAAAGAGTCTTACATGATAATGTTAAATAAGTATGAAAATCGAATCAATGTGTTAAGATTTATACAATATATGGTTTCTTCTTGTTACATGGTTTTCTTCTAGTTCAAACCGAGAAAAGAGTCAAAAGATGTTTTATGAATTCATATTTTAACTGATATGCAAACCGTGAAAAAAGTCAAAAGGTGTTTTATGAATTCACATTTTAACTGATATGCAAATAGTATCGATTATACTCTATTACATATTAATTTTCATGCTGTTGTAGTTCAATACTTAAATAGTGTATGCAGTGGCCAGAAGAAGATTTAATATTAGTGACTAAAAGATTGTCATTGCCTAATCTATTAAACTGATGTTCTAGAAACCAAGTCTGCTTAGTAGGTAGCCAAATAATTAGTATAATAATAATTATTTTTGTAGCGTCATTTAAATAAGAAGGACAAAGTACAATACATGTACACATTTACACTGCAGAAAAACCAACTAGAGAATTAGACTTGTATTAACACAAATTCAATAATTTTATACACATATATTTGTCTTATGAAGAACATATTTATATATAAAAAAAAAAGTTTTTTGTATAACAAGAAAGACGATATCATAAAAATAGAAAAATTAAGAATTGCTCATAAAATAACACTTGTGAATTCTGTATCAGCACTCGCAAAAACGACATTACTTTCTGGTCCCCCTAGTGATAAGAATTGCGCTTTCTTAATCAAACAAATATTTAAGAGTAAACTTTAACTAATTTCGAATCATATATAATAATAATAATAAACGTGATATTATTTGCCATGAATGTGTTCATATGATATTATTTTGAAGAACAAGTTCACATTTATTTCAAATAATTAAGAAACAAGATAATTTGTTATTTGACATAATATTTCAAATACTGTTATTTCGAATGTGATCACATGTATAAAATTCATAATAATTGCATAACATTTAAATAATAACCAAATATTCGAAGTTCATTGGCAGCATTACTTCTAAAATATTCGAATAATCCCAACTACTAATTCGAGGAACATTTGCTTTTAGTCTTGAGGGATATACTTTACGAAGAATTTGGTACGGGAGCTCTCATATTTACCAGAGCGTAATTTTCAACGGGGTCGAGAGCTCGAAAGCTGCCGCGAGACAGATTAATCGAGGCAATCTCGATTGGCATTTAACGTGGATTATGGGAGTAGCCTCGGTTATGGCCTCGGCGTACGTGTCTCTATGTAGTTTCCCTGATTCCATGGTTAGATGGAATTCGTGGCTACCTATCACCAAATGTCCGTATGTTAATTCGCGAATGTACACGGCTTAGGCGCTATCCCATTTTGATTATTATCGAATAAAGTCAATTCAAACATTTTTAACATTATCTTCTTCGGAAATAATATAAAAAAAAATAATTGAAAGTTTAAGTTTAAAGGAACAGTTTGGCGTGAGGAATGTACAAACAAGTGAACACATGTTTATATATAGGGAGAGCAGAAAGTAATGTCGTTTCTTTTACATTACATTCAAACAAATAAATTCGTAACAAATTTGTACTTTTAATCAATTGTGTAATCGATCGATAAAAAATCAATTGGTACACAACGAGCTGATAAACGATAAACAAGTATTGGCACTCGCAGAAACGACATTACTTTATGGTCCCCCTAATACAATACATATATGTGACAAACAAATTATAAAAATTATTTAATTATTAGGCGATATACTTATACCCTAAAGTATAAGAAATAGTTAGTCGTAGGTAATCATATCATTTTTTTACAAAATTTTAATTTTGTTTTATGAAATAAATATCAAAGACAATATAAACGAGTATATAGTTAAAAATATTATGTAGAATAATATATATAATAATAAGTTTTCCTTTCATTATCTACTATTCTCACATAAAATTTCTCTTAGGTATTATTTCTATTATATAATATTTACTTTCTTTACATTTTCATTTAATTTTCACCTCATGCATACAATAGAATGAGTTGATTAAATAATCCTAAAGTAAATGTAGTCGATTTAGAAATATAGTCTAATATATTCAGGCATTTGTTCCTATTTTCCTTAGCACTTATCTTATAAATGAATGCTGACATAATTTTATCCATAATTAATAACAACCTATGTTTTACTTACGTAAATGTATTGCCTAACTATAGATACTTTTATGATTTTTTTATTACATACATTTTAAAAATATTTATCCTTTTGCACATTCTTTTATTATAAAAGTTTTTATAAAATTGTATCGTTACTAAAGCATATCGAAATGAAATATTGGAAGCGTTGCGAATTCTAGAAATAATTCTCCTGAAAATAATTTATTTACATTGATCAGTGATTAAAAATTCTTATTTATCATGTTTCATTTTCAGTCGAGGTGCATTATGACCGCGTGCAGCTCGATGCGCTTGGGTTCGAGGAGCTCGAAGGAGATTAATGGAGCATTTACTCCATTAGTCAATTAGCTACAGCATAAGGATGTTACGAGCTACAATAGCCTTTCCTTAATTAATTTTTAGTTCAAATGAAAAAAAGAAACGTCGTTTAACGAATTAAACTACCCGGACAAGTACTAAAATTAAACTCCGTGAATCATGCTATTACATTTATTTCATTTTGCTCTCTTAATCACACCGTTTGCAATTCAAACATTGAATGTGATAGTAACAAGCACGTTAATTATTTCTGTACATAATTTATGTTTGCAGTGATCCTGGTAGTCAACCTATTGTATATTAAGTAGAAAATTTGTATAATTTATTTTATAATTATTATGAGCTATCGTTAAATTGGTACACCTACTACAATTTTGTACATACTTTTATTTTCCAAACTAATTTATAATATTATTATGTATTACGTGTAGTAAATATGGGTTTCATTTTTATATTTTGTATTCTCACAGATTACTATATTATTTCGCATTGCATTTTTTTCTAAACATTTTATTTAGACAATATCACTGTATATAAAATTTAATTTCTCAGTAGTTGTCCACTATGTAATCTATATTTTTTTCTTTTTAATGTCAACTATTTTACATTGATGGTTTCTAAGACATTCGCCATGTGTTGGTCAAAATGTTAAATATAAATAATGAATAGTTTGTCACAATTTATCATATCAGTTTTACATGTGTAACATGTCAAGTTCTTAAAATGTCTGATATAAATTTGAATTGTTTATATGAAATTTAACAAAAGTACATCAAATATTAAATAAATTGTATTAAAAAGGATTTTTTAAAAGGGACTTTTAAATTGTGGATATTGTGTATATCTATACTAAATTGTATTTAGAAACGTATAGTTTCGCAATTCTTCCAATAACAACTTTATATGTGTAACGTTCCTCGTGGACACTAATTGCGAAGAAAACAAATTCCTATAGCTTCCATTGAAAAAAACCTCCATCACAGTATATAGACACTTATACACTATCGTCCGCGTTTATATCAGTTCACTACACTTCCACCTAACGTTCAATGATACACAAAAAGAACTAACAGAATTATTTCAAGGAATTTCCGGAACGCGGATGACCCGACGTGGCCATACACTCGCCGAATTTCTAATAATAAATTTCTCCGAAAACTTTTGCCTTGTTGCGCAAGCGAATCGACCGAGTCAGCTTGTTTGTTTATAGTTCGAACAAAACAACAGGCACGTTGCAAATTTAAGAAACTAATTACCTTGTGGGATTGGGTTCGGCGTCGATCACACGCTCCTTGTATCGAGGTAGCGACGACTTTCGGGAGCGGAATCGAGCCTCGACCGACGCGTACAAAAAATATTCGCCCCTTCTTCGCAGGATAATCCCCGTGAGAGGGTCCACTCGATCATTAGGGCTAAACAACATTAGGTTCACGCCGTACCCCGAACTGCGAGAAGCGAGTAAATCGCGGTGCATTCTACAAAGGACTGCGGTTATATTTAGTTTTGGCGCGGTCGTGCACTCTCGCACATTTTCGGTCTTTTTGGAAAAGCTTCCGCCACGCAACGTTCAAAATACACTCGTGGCGAGGGGGTGCCGGTCTTCGCCTACTTTGCTGTCTGCTGGACGCGTTCGAATGTATACTTTTTTTAAGGAGTTCTTTCTCTCCAAAAATGCAATTCCTTAGGAGTCAATTAGTCAAACGTGATTGATACAGTACAATTCATTCCTTGTGAAGATACAGTGGGTGTAGAATGTATTCGTACACCGATCAATTTCCCAAAAAAAATTTTGTATGAAATTGTAGTTTCTTAACTTCTTTTTTTATAATCAATGATATTTTACATATTCTCAGAAATTCTAAGATAGATATAGTCCAAACAACATTTATTAGTTAATATAATTTGTGAAATTAACAACAATAAGTATTTCTACGATTCTTATGACAAAGCATTTAGAGTAGAGTTTATAATGTTAACACATTAGTTTATTGCTTCGTACGAATTAGAAAATATCCAGTAAAGTATATTTATTTAGAACTATATTTTTTGTTTTTCCAAACTTTAACGAAAGTGATACATTTTTTCA